CCCCAAAACCCCAAAACCCCAAAACCCCACTTAGTTCCAAAATTATTAAAAAAATGGACAACTCCTTATACAGCTTTGGCACCAAAGTACCCCTCCTCTAACCTCTCTAGAGCAAAAATGACCCTTCTAAATCATCGATTCTAGATTTCATGAAGAGCAGAATATCCCAAAATCCCTTAAAATTCACAAAATCTCAGCCTATATAGACCAAAAAGTCGAAATCACTGAGAAAGACAGGAAAGATGTCCCAATAATGAAGGTCCTCGAGGAAGGAGCCGACCTTGACTATAGCAGCAGTGAGCTAGCCAGCAACGAAGAAGAGAAGGACAGAATCAGGCAGCGAAAGAAGTTCAGTAAGCAACCTAGTTTTGGTAACAAGGAAGATGTCGCAGGTCTCACCAAGTATGAAAATTTGGTAAGCAAGGTTTCAATATAGACCAGGATCATAGAAAATCAGACCATGACCAGAGTAATACCTCCATCATGGCATTGAAATAAAGCTTATTTCAATAACCATGATGATGAAGAATCTAGTGAGGAAAGTTACAATGATGGCTCAGAAGAAGCAGAGGAAAGTGAGTACGAATACTCTGATCAATACGAAGAAGACGAAGGAGATGATGGTACCTACCCCATTGAGCATTTAGAAAAATACTTCATCAAGCCATTCAGGAAGAACCATTCATTTGAACCAAAAAGAGTAAGAATAAACTCATATAATTCACCTGAGCTTAAGCACAGAGACTTTTTCTTCAGGGAATTAGAGGGGATGAAGATAAATGAAGTACCTAGGTTTAACAGCAATGGTTCCATGAAATTAGCAGCAGACAAAAAGAGTCATCATAAATCAAAGAGAAAAAGAACTTATAGCAATCCTGATGAAGAGAAACAGAAAATTCTCCAAGAGCAAGAAGAGAATTTCAAGATCGAATTGGAAAAGATAGAGAGGGAAAAATGTATAGCTGACCCAGACCGGAAACATATGCTGCAGGAAGCTAATATATTCTTGAAGAAAGTCACCATCGGCCAAAATCAGAATAACAAGGAGAATAATGATGCTGCTCTGAGTAATGCTGATGAAGACCCCCAGAATTATATAATTGACTGGAAACAAGCCATTGATCACCGATCAGAGTATTTATTAAAAGATAAAGGCATTTTTAAATCTAGAAGAGTTGTCTTCGCACAGAAAGGTGGATACCCTACAATTATGACCAGTTTAATCATGCCTAAAGCTGTGAGAGATTATGATGTAAAAATGAACCAATTTAGAAGAATGAAGGAACTAATGATAGACTCCAGCTCAAGTTCAGATCAGGACCTATTCTCACAGACAGATTCTGACTACTTCGGTAGCTCTGACTCAGAAGGAGACAAATTTGACCTTCCTTTACAAATATATGACTTCGAGCCATTATTCTTGGAAGACTCTAAAATAGGAAGAGCTTATGTGATCAACCTCTCAGCATATCGGATAAGCATGAACCCATATGTGAGCTCACAGAAGCTAGACGAAGACTTAGACAGGAACTGGAGGAAGAAATACCCTCACATTACTGGCATCTCTTTGCCAAAAATCAGGGAAGAGAAATATAGTGTATGTGAGCACTTTTTACAAGGCGAAGGCTTCAGACTCCCTCTCATAATCCTTACTAGAAGCTGGGTCTGATTTGAGAGATTGGTCCTCAGAAATGTAGTCAATGAGTCAGAATGTAAGAACATCCTAGCTACTTGTATCATGATGAATTACAAGTTCTTCCTTGATTATGGAGAGTCACAGGAAAGACAGAAGAATTTAGAGAAATTACACATCTGTATTGGAGCTTACACTGATATCTTTGGGTACAAGAAAACTTTGTTTAAAAATGAGCTCAAGGTACTTAAAGGGCTGAACTACAGTCTGAGTTGTGCTGACAATTGATTGACTTCTCATGTGAAATCTTTTCTTACAATGCTAGATATGACATTTAAGGAGTATGAAGATGAATGCCAAATTGAGAGTTCGGAGTAAAAAATTCAATTTTAACTCTTCTGTAAGGGGTTTTGGGGTTTTGGGGTTTTGGGGTTTTGGGG